TTCCGGCTCACAGCGGCCCTGCGGGATGACATGGAGGGGGGTCGGTGTCCTACCCCGTCCTAGAGGGCGCTTTGAGCCGGTACCAACCCAAGGACAGGGAGTTTGGTATTGGTTTGCAGAGATTCCATGACTACTATTGTGGACAGGCCTCAGATGGAGGTACCATGGGTTAGGTCTTGGGCTGATGTTCGGATGTTCAAACCCACCAGCCACTCTGAGCGAGAAAGATGGGGCTGGCCACTCCTATAAAGACTGGGAAACCCACGGGGCAGCTGCACTCAGTCTGCAGGGTTGCTGAGAGTCCGAACGGGTGGGTGCTTAAGACGGGTCGTTCCTGCCCACAAGGTTGTGGTCCAGTGTTTTCCCAGGGGATTGTCAGTGGATTCTTCCTGCCCTTAGTCTGGAAGTTCTTCTGAGACCAAATTCGGCATCACCCGGTTTCCACAGACGGGCGGATGGTGGCAACACAGACGACGAGAATTCCCCCAGGAACCACCGCCCGTGGCTGACTCACAGCGACCCTGTAGGGCAGGGTAGAGCAGCCCCTGTGCGTTTCTACTCTTTACAGGAGTAGAAAGCCTCATCTTTGCCCCCGTGGAGCTGCAGGGGAGTTCTAGCTGCTGACCTGCCAGGTGGCAGCCCAGCGGGTGCCCCTACTATGCCACCAGGTCATGCGGAGCCCGAGCCTCATCTGCAGGTGCCCCTCCCAGGGGGCTCTGCTCTCTGAGTCAGAGATGCCTCGAGCCGCAGCCATGTGGCCGCCAGCCCGCCCTCCCTCCACACGCCGTGAGGCGTCCACACCTGTCAGCGCAGAAGGCTTCCCCAGACTCGGGCGTTCCTGGGCCACGCCTCAGGTGTCTCGGAACTGGACTGGCCGGGGTCGGTGAGTCAGGTTGGCGGTTTGGACCCAGCAAGCGGCTCCTCCAGAGGAGCCCCAGCAACGGAGCGGTTACGCACTGGGCTGCTAACTGCAAGGCCAGCCCTTTAAAGCCAGCAGCGTGGGCACACGAGCGCGCGCGCACATGCACGCCCCCTCACACAGGCCCGCACCTGCACACACTCGTGCGCACACGGCACCTAGGTCTGTCATCTTCCCGGGAGCCTCATCTTTCTCCCGCGGAGCCGCAGGTGGACTTGAGCTGCCACAGCCGAGCGCTTACCCCCACACCCCACGTCTCTTTGCACGTCTGCTCCAGACCTCCAAGAAGGGACCAGATGCCGGAGACGCCAGCGGACCTCCCCAGATGCAGTGCCCCAAATCCGCTTCCTGCCGCGCGTTCATCAGCAGGGGCTGGGGACAATGCAGAACGAGGCAGGGGCTGATACCCCAGGGAGAGAGAGATGATCAGTAGATAGAGGATTAGTGACGAGGGATGGAGGTAATGATAGACTATAGACTGGTGACAGGTAGCTAGGTAGATGACAGAGATTGTTTGATGATGGATACATAGGTAGATGATACATCTATAAGTAAGTATGTAGGCTTATAATAAATGATAGATTGATAGAAAAATAATAGCTAGAAGAGGGATACATAAGTAAATGTTAGATATTTAATAGGTATATGATACATAATAGTTATATGATAGGTAAATAGGTAGATTGATGACAGATATAGAAAGCTACATGGTAGGTAGATGATTGATGATAGAGTTGATGATAGATAGATAGATAGATAGATAGATAGATAGATAGATAGATAGATAGATGATAGGTAGGTAGATAATAGATTAATGATAGATCTATGATAGGTAGATGATAGATTGATGATAGATGATAAGTAAGTAGGTACATAAATAGATGATAGATAGATAGATAAAGATTTACAGTCTCTGCAACCCGCTATCCGGTCTCTGTGCATCCACACCCACTTGCTGGCATCGGGTTTTGTTGTTTGATGTTTACGTACGCCTGTAATTATATTCCCACCGGGAGAGGGTTTTCTTTGTTATGTTCATGAGCAGGGTGAGTACGCACTGTGCTTTGAGTCCAGAAAAAGAAGAAAAAACACCTGCCTCCGAGTGGATTCTGACTTATCACGACGCTACAGGACAGAGCAGAACTGCCCCTTTTGGTTTCTGAGACGACGTCTTTACGAGAGCACACAGCCTCCTCTTTCTCCCAAGGAGTGGCTAGTCGGTTTGAACCGCTGACCTTGTGTTATCAGCCCAACTCGGAACCCACTGTACCACCAGGGCTCCTTAGTCAATCATTTAGAAGGTATCAAAGAGCCAGACACAGGGATCTTCAAGGAACCAGAAAAGAGAGGCTGAAAGGCAAGGACCAACAGACAGAGAACGCCTTCCCCCAAGGCCGGCTCGCTGGATGCTCAACCTCTCACCTCCTGCTCTGTAAGAAAATAAGTTTCTGTTGGTCAAAACCACCCCCTTGTGGTACTGCTGAGCTAGCAGCCCCAGGGGACCTAGATACTGGCTCTTTGTGGCCTTGCGTCCTGGCAGCCCTGGGGAATGGACACAGGGCGGGAAACCTTTAAAAATAGCTGCTTCAATTAAGACGTCTACTCTTACTACTAAGTGGTGTGTGTCAGTGACTCTAATGGCCTAGTAGGTCCTGCTGAGACACGACAGGCTCATAATTACACACTGGGCCCCCTCCAGTCCAACAGCAGCTTTGCAGGAAGCCCGGGCCAGCGGCGCTGGGCTGCTGCCAGTGGAATGACAGCGCTGGCAGAGGGACAGTCCCTCCCTCCCGCCCCCACAGCCTGCTCCCCCCACCCACCCTAGAAGAATTGCTTGTGAACTCAGCAGTTTCAGTCCCTATGGATCTTCATTATAAAGCCGTCTATCGGTGCTCCCTGGCCAACGGACAAGGTCCTCACCCCCAAGCAGACCAGAAGTTCACATTTAAAACACAAGCTCACTGCCAGCGAGTGGATTCCGACTCACAGTGACCGCTCCCCGAAACTCCAGGTGTACCATGCCCCTAGAGTGATAGCTGCCAGCCTGAAATCGTGCCCCTGGAGGGTCCCCCATCCTTACTCTGGTCTCCAAACCCCTTCCTCCCGCCCGGGTGCAGCACCTCCTCCTGTTGCATGATAGCTGGGCTCGCTACGACTGGGAGCCCACCGTTCCAGCTAGAGATGCCGTGGCCTAACGCCAAACCCCAAATCACTGTCATTCCGGCTCACAGCGGCCCTGCGGGATG